AAGCAATTTGGATATTTAACCACATCCAATTCAAGCATTTAATCATGCCGCTAAAGTTAATTTCATATAAAATATGATATTACTGTATATAGTAATTACTCAACATGTAATTACATCCACACTCATTCACAATAATGAAATCATAACTCTCGTGAATTATAGAAACTCATCTCCTTCAACCATACCAGGAGCATCCTCTTTGAGAAACTGTGTCAAACACAAAGTTTTGAGATAGAATAACATCTTTTGTTGTTATCATTTGAACTCATTGTCATTAGACTACTCGGACTTTTACCCTTTGATTTCTACCACCATGTGGTATGGAATTCGAATCGTCAATGATATTTTTGTGAATTCATCACACAAAATACTTTCTCAAAATTTGTTAAACATAATAAACAAATAACACCACCAAACAATTTTATCCCAACGATAATTAACTATAAAGGTGCTATTAAATTATGCAGCATGGAGCATAACGAAACAAAGTAAATTCTACGTAAATAATTGACCATGTAAATAACAAGGTTAATACATACATGTCGAAATACCCAATTTCAACATTGACACAAAAGAATATAATATCAAATCAAGTTTTCTTAACAAAATAAATTAAGAAAATAAGCATCATTGATCATTGAAAAACTTATGAAAACCATCAAGAAAATTGGAACACAATGGCCAATACGGAATCAAAAAATTAGTATCCATAAAACCATAAGGAAAAAATTCCAATATACAAAGATCAGGGCTATGGACTAAACAAAATCCGTCAGAGAGATGCATAAACAAAAAAAACTTATGCAAAATTGTCTTAAGATGGTTGGAGAAATATGCATAGAAATTTTAGTAATGTTGGTAGATTTTCATGAAGCTATGAGCCCTTTGCTGGTGGAAATCATAGCGATTTGGGAGGGGATGCAGCTAGCGTTGAGGTTAAGGCTGAGGAAAGCTTTAGTTGAATTTGACTTCGTGGAAGCCATTAGTTTGATAAATAGGGGTATAAATTGGCAGTGGGAAGTTGCAACGATAGGAGATATCAAAATTTTAGCTGGATACTTTTTAAGATATTTCTTATATGCATGGTTGTAGAGAGTCTAATGGAACTGTTGATCTTACTCGAAAGTCTCTTAAATTGACAAGATCTATTATTGTGGATGCATAATTATTCTCGTTGGCTCTTTACGTTGTAGAAGCATATTATCAAGCTCCCCTAGTCACTAGTCTTAATGCGAAACTTTAGTTTAAAATAAATATATATTTTTTAATTAATACAATTATTAGTTTAAGATTTTAATTGATTTAACGGGCATAGTTTATGGAGATAAATTGATTTTCTAAAATACCAATATACTATTAATAATATTATTTTAGAGAGAAAACGGATACATTTCCAATTCCACCATATTTTGAAGGGTAAACAAGGAAAAAGGTATTCTATAAAAAAATGAAAAAGGCAAAAACAAAAAGCCGTCAATTTGGAAAATTATGGATTCTATTTCTGGTATTCCATTTTGCACAAATGAAAAGAAAAATGAGTTGGCGGCTTTTTAGGTTGAAATTTCAAAGGTAAAAGTATAATAATATTTTGTCTCACATTCACAATTCTTTTTTTTTTTTTTTAATTTTAAAGTTTGGTTACTACAATTTCAAAAAGTTTATTTTAATATCTATATTTTGGTTAAACTTTCACAAATAATCTAGATAATAATGGTATACTATAAATTAGAACTAAGTAAAAATCACAGTGATTTATTACATCATGTTGGCACTTAAAAGTTATACAATTCAATGTACGATTTTAATCTCCATACTTTCGATTTTAATTTATTTTAATCATGTATTTTTAAAAGGTTTATTTTGGTCTCTGTACGTACTTTCGACCTTTGTTTATTTTGGTCCTCATACTTCCAAAATGATCAAAAGTGACATTTTTTATTTTAACTTATTTATTTTTATTACAATTTTACTTTTTAGCATGAACTAACTAATTTTTTTGAAATATAGTTATAAAATTGTATTAAGATTTCTATTGTGTATAAAATTTTGTAAATAAAAACTAAAATGATCCATTTTAAAATATATAAAAAAGGGTAAAGACTAAATGAATAAAAAAGTCAAAGTAGAAGGACCAAAATAAATGTTTTTAAAACTACATATATCAAAATAGACCAAAAAAACAAATTAAAATAGTATTTAAATATARATTATTTATCTCAAATATTTAATTGGTTAACCCAACAACTTTAAAAATAATAAAAAAAAAACTGACCTAATTCTATAATAAATTCCATTAAGTATATTCAACTTCTAAAATATTTGTGAATATGTAAAAAGTGGTTGTAATTATAATTTTCTTAATTAAAATATAATATTAATTGATCAACTTCATAATTTACATAATTAATAATTAACCTTTTTTTTACTCTAGTAACACCATGTGGAGTGAGTATTCAAACCCACGATCTTTTTATCCGTAGATATATCTTAACTAAATATTGCGAAACAATGCTAATAATCATCTCTAGATAGTCTTATTTTAAGAATATTCAACTCTTATTATGCTATATATACGTCGTTTTAAAATGAGAAATGAAAATAGGAATAGTTATCAAATTCTCATGTTTCTCATAAAAAAAAATAAAATACCAGAAATAAAATACCAGAAATAAAAACGTCTCGAAATGAACCCTTAAATATCATATTTATTACTCCAAAATTATCTAAAAATTTCCCAAGAGAATGAAATAGAAACTTTTCCCTTTCGCAAAAAGGAAAAAAAAAAAAGATTTTTCAAGGAAAAGAAATATTTAACGAAACGGTAAAAATTCAATGCTCAAATAGTTAATTCAAGGAATTTTAGTGGTAATATTCAACTATATAATTTTAGAGCAAATTCAATAGTTTCAAATTTTATTTATTGGGCAAATGGAAAATTTTCTATGATTTGTTTTCTAGCCATCTCTATAGACATTTTGTTAAAATTTCCCTTTTTCTTTTTGAGAAATATATCAAATGGCTTTTTCTTTACATTCAAAATATAAAGAGATTACGAGATTACATTCAAAATATTCTTGCCAATGGAATCGTCTTTTGAGAATAATATACTAAAGAGATTACGAGAAAACAAACTTAATTTTTTAAAATATAAAACTAAAAACTACAAATGAGATTTTAGAGATGAATGTTTTGGGCAAATTTAAGCCATCCCATGGCCCAAAAACTACTATTGTAAGATATAAAATCAAATTAAATAATGGCTTTAGTAACCTCTCATTAGTCATTAGGTTGGTAGCAAAAGTAACTTTATAAAGTGTAAAATTACAAAAATGGTATACCTAACCTAAATCATAGAATTTACAAAAATGATTTGATTGAAAACTACTTGTTTTTGTATAAAAATGTCATCTTTTTAAAATTAGAAAAAAAAAACCACTCTTACAAATTTCCTTCTTTATGAAAAGAAACCAATGACCACCCACTAAGACCAACAATTGGCAAATTTGGAATTATTTGCACCCCACATGCTCTATTTTATCACCTCAAATAATAATTATTTATGGTCATAATTATGATCAATTGTTTAATTAACCAAACAAAGTAACTAAATAGACAACTTTGGTTCTACCAAAATCAAATACAAATTTCAAACGAAATTAAAAGGCATAAATCTTTGTTTGTTTGGATAAAAACAAGTGTCATTTTTCATTTTCCAATCCTCACAATATTTTTAATTGGCACCATGTAACATAGTAACATTAATAATTATAAAAATATATACATATTTTCTTTTCTTTACTATTGTTTCAATGATCTTATCCAAAATTACATGTTGGGATGAAAATATCAATATCAATGGACAATGATCTTTTTAATTATATAGTCAAAATGTTGAAATCAATGACATAATCAATTGGGTGATGTTCTATTTTATTTTATCTCCCATGTGTTGGCTGGAATGTAACTTGATTTTTTTTCCTAAATTTTTAATGGCACCAAGTGAATAGTTATTATTCTATAAAACTTTTTATTTAAATAATTGATATATATATATATATATATATATATATATATATATGTTATAATGTGCGTCAAATATAATGATATAAAATTGATGAAACTTCAGAGATAATTACGTAAGCGATCAAGAAAATGATTGAAGGACGACAAAGCTCGAATTTGTATGACCAACGAATGAAAAGATCTGCAAAAGAGAGAAATAGCTTTAACACTCAAATCAGTACTTATCAGATCAAATGTTTGATAGATAATAGTTTTGCATATGTGAGAAATAAGGCAGAGTGCGAGTTTCGCGTCTACAAATGCAACAAAGGTCGGCCAATCAGGAAATATAGGTCGGCTCGACCTTACTTGTCGAATTATCGAATTTTCGGAGTAATGAGTTTTTTTTTTACATGTTGGGAAAGAGATTTGAACTACAACTTCTTAATTGAAAATATATGTCGATTGAACTATGCTTCTTTACTTTTAGATTTATCTAATCGAATGGATGAAATTAAAAGTCTAGAATAAAATTTATTAATCAACGTACATTGATTAAAACTAGTCGAAACACCTTTCCGATTGGTTTCATCGATTATTTCTTTTTCAATTTCAACTTGAATTCAACCCAACATAAATTAATAATATAATTCATATTACGAAATGTTAAAAAAAATGTATATTACTAAAATAATTGGTTTCAAGTGGTCTCGGAAGTACCGAATCCCACCCTCTGTCATCATCTATAATTACCAATGACATGGTCTTAAAGGAGGACCAGGATTGTCTTTTCTGATTGGCCGATTCTTTCACTTTCCTTCCTTTCAAAAATCCCCTCCTCTCCCCCACTCTCACCCACGCGCGTCCTCCCCACGCTCCCACTTGTCACTACACTCATCTCCTCCACGCGCCCCCAAGGAGCGTGGCCCCACTTTCCTCCTCCACCGCCCCCCTCCGCCGGAGCCATTTTCTATATATATATACACACAGAGGAGAAATTTCGAAGCCGCTTGGTTTTCTTTTTATCCATTAACGAACCATCGGAGCGGCGAAGTTTTTCCGGTGCATTTTACTCGTTGGAGATTCCCAGAGGCGGTTCCGTTCAGCTTCCGTAAGGTGGTTGTTGTTGTTGTTCTGCTGCTTATGGCTGAGTTGACTCAGCCGGAGGTCTACTCGCCGAGGACTCTGCAGGTGTGGAAGACGCTGTTGAACTGGTTGGCTTTCTTCTTCCAGATCTTCGTTCAGATCCTCAGAGCTCTCGGGCATCTTCGTCTTCTTTCTTCTTCTTCTTCTTCAACTGATTCTTCGTCTCCGTCTTTTAAGCCCTTGCCGGTCGTTGAGCTCCCTGACCACGACTTTCTCGCCGCCTCCGCCGTTGATATCGCCTCTGTTGAAGATGATGAAGAGTCCGACGGGCGTGTGGAGAAGCTAACGGTATTTTCATTTTCTCTTGTTGATTTCGCTTGATGAATGTGGGGTTTCCCCCAAAATTTCTCGACTGTTCTTGCAACTGAGGAATGGTTTCTGCTGATTTCATTTGCTTAATTTTGAATTTATTGGGGTCTATGGCAATGATGTTTTGCCTAATTTTTTGAGAGTTTGGGAGTAACATTTAACACGGCGTAGACTTTGGGGAAGGAGGAATGTACATTTTCTTAAATGAAAATAGGGACAGGGAAACTTCAACTTGACTGCCTATGGTTCCACTGTATTGCATGCTGGCGATTCATTCAGTAGATGAAGGAATCTAGCTTTGGAACATTTGAAGTAACTATGTTCTTCCGTCTTAGAACTGCATGTTATGATTTACGATCTGTCTGGAAATGTTCTCCGCTGCTCTGTAAAATTTCTAATGCCAGAAGTTTGTGGAGATGCTGTGTGAAGTTGAGTGGTTTCAAAAATTTCATTTAGTTCCATAAAGGCACTTAGAGGATTGTTGTTTCTTTCTTCTTCCGTTGTTTTTCCCTTTTCTTTCTCTGGGTTGGGGGTGGCATACTTTTTTCCTTCAATTCCACTTTTTCCCTTTCTTTTGTTCCCCTTGTGTATTTCATTTATAGATTATGCATTTGACATTGAGCAATTTCAGATAGTTCTCGACTTGGATGAAACTCTCATATGCGCATATGAGACGTCTAGTTTGCCTGGTGTTATTCGTAGTCAAGCAATAGAAGCTGGACTGAAGTGTTTCGAACTCGAGTGCGTATCTTCAGACAAGGTAATTTCCTTTCCGGTAACCTTGTGTGTAATTTGATTCTCTCTGGGTTTCAGTAAAAGTAAAACTATCTCACTTGTATATGCTGCTACTTGAAGGACTGTGAAGGGAAGCCTAAGGTCAACTATGTTACTGTCTTCGAGCGTCCGGGTTTGCGCGATTTCTTACACCAACTAGGCGGGTTTGCAGATCTTGTGCTCTTCACAGCTGGTCTTGAAGGTCCGTTCTCTTTCCATCCATCATAATTGTCAAGTAAGAATCCTCTACTACCCATCAAAGAAAATAAGAAATGAAATCTGAAGAATGTCATATATGTATATGTCTCAGGGTACGCGAGACCACTTGTTGACAGGATAGATGAAGAAAATCGATTTAGTCTTCGACTTTATAGGCCTTCAACAATTAGCACGTAAGTACTAAGCTTTTTCCCTTTTGTTCTTGTAGTTAGTTACAGCAAATATTTTCTATTTTTACTTCTATCTAGGTGGGTAGAGTGTCAACTTCAAGTCAGCAAAGACACAATACTTACTTATAGAATTACTGAATCCCAAGGGATTGAACCTGCCCTTTCCAAGAACAAGTTTGAATCATTAAGGAGTTTGAGTAAAACTTTGCTTAACTACTGTATTTAGGCCTAAGAAGTTCATAATTTATTAATGGTACAGGCAGTGATCAAGTGTAAAAAAGCTTGTGCAATCACAAATTTTCTTTGGGAGGGACAAAATTTTCCATTCTAAGTTTGTATATATTATATATAGGGGACGCAAATTAAAAGGAAAACTACAAAATCTTTATTATTTTATATACTTTTTTAAATTGCGACAAACTAAGACGGGCAAACCTTTCTTCTTGGCTCTATCCCTGTTAGTTTGGTTAATAGTTAACTTTCACGGTATTAGTTGGAAACTGAGTATAGTATTCTGTTCTCTTGAGATGTTAAAACTTAAAAGCACTGACTTTCAAAGTGTTTTAAAAACCAAAAATGTAAGTATTCTCAACACTCCCTTCACTCGTGGGCTTGGATAATTGCACAAAGAAGTGGAAATAATTATAAATGGGGAGGAAACGATACAAGGGTTCGAACACAAGACCTCTCRTTCTGATACCATGTTAAGGATGAATAAACCACCACTAAATTCAAAAGCTTAAGTTGATTGGTTGGGTAGATTTAATTCATATATATGGATTCTCAACAAATAGCATATATCCGTTGTTGGGGATCGTGTTAATTGTTTCACAGGTAATGTTATAAAGACGTAGGATTTTAAATATTGGATGGATGGAAACCTTACAAGCTTCTACAAAAGTTCAAGCTAAGTTACTTAAATTGTGGTTCTGCTACATAATCTACAGGGAATTCCGAGATCACGTGAAGGATCTCTCCTGCCTGTCAAAGGATCTACGAAGAACAGTCATTGTTGACAACAACCCTTTCAGTTTCTTATTGCAACCTCTGAATGGAATTCCTTGCATTCCATTTTCTGCAGGGCAACCACAAGATTCCCAGGTGAGGAAATTTTCTAAATTAGTACATCTCGACAGTATAACTCAATTATTGACCAATCTTTTTCATGTGGCTTCCTCTCCATATACAGCTTCTAGATGTCATTCTTCCACTTCTAAAGCACCTCGCACTGCAGAACGACGTCAGGCCGGTGCTGTACGAAAGATTCCACATGCCTGAATGGTTTCAGAAGCATGGAATTCCTACCTAAGTTAAACGAAGATTGATCTGTGCAAGAAAAAGGTACATTCTTCTCCTTGCACAGTTCACCACCAGTTACCTTGTTCACGGAGGGTGCAGCACCTTCAATGAATCAGACACTGATTCTTGAACTTTTGTATAGCTTCATGTTCATCATGGATGTGATCCCGAAAGGTTCCATCCAATTGTTTGGAAATCCATATGTAGTGTTATAATTGTGAAGGGAAAAATTGCAAAAACCACCCCTGAATAGAGGTTGTTACATACACATCCTCAAGCTTTTAATTTGATCTATCACTCCTTTACATTTACGAAATTGTCATTATTAAACTCTTAATCATAAAATGTACAAATCGCTCTTGAACCAGGATTGTTACAATTTAATCCAAGTTAGAATTTGGTTCTTAGATTGATGCTGAGCTGACATCTCGATCAAGAAACCAAAAAGTTATTGTAAAAGTTTTAGGGTTGATCGTAACAATTCAATAATGCGAGGGTTTGATTATTACAATAGTTACAGTTTAGCAGTGGTTTGTGCATCTTACCATGTTTAAGGGTTTTAATCGCAACAGGTGTGATTGAAACAATCTCTATAGTTCAGGGGTGGTTTTGCAATTTTCCCGATTGTAAATTTGTAGGAATTCTGAATTTGTCATTCATCTTTGAATTTATTCATGTAATCTTGTTGGTAGGAGTTTTGTGGAACTTRTTTATCAATAAATATCAGTGGTTTCCCCCCTTTGGTTGCTTTAACTATTGTTTCACTGAAATATTGTATGCAAGTGCTTATGGAAAGAGCAAATTTAATTGTTTTGAAAAAATTTTTTAGCTATGAAATCAAACTAAATGTATATGTATAGAAACTCCCAAATTATTAGTTTTTATTTGGTGACCACCTACYTCGGATTTAATATCCTATGAGTTACTTTGTCAACCAAATGCAGTAGGATTAGACAGTTGGCCCGTGATTAGTCGATGTGCGCACAAGCTGGTTCGGACACACGGATTTCGAAAAAAAAAATTATTAGTTTTTATTTGCTAGATGAATACAGAAGCAAATAATTTTAGAGAAATTGTTATGACTAAGTTTTTGTTCAATTTTCTTTGGAAATTGAATAAACCACATTGGAATTATAGGGGTTACCACACGACTTTCAATTTATTGCAAAAGCTTGCCAATCTTTAAATGTTATACAAAATTGGCTACCCACTRCAAATTTAGAACTAATTTGCACTCACTGACAAATTTGTTYGGTAATGTTTTCATTTATATTTATTATTTTTAAATGAAGAAAAATAGAAATACATTTGATAATTATTTATTATCTTTGTTATTTGTTTTTTTTTATGAAAAAAAAGTAAGATGAATGTGTTTGATAACTAATTCTTATCTAAAATTAAAACTTTTATGAAAACTAAATTTTGAAATCAAATATTTAAATTTTTTTATGTGATATTTATTTTTAAATATTTATTATACATTTAATAAGCTAAATATTTCTTTTTAAGATTCGGAAAAAATTGAAAATGGAAACCAGGGACAATAAATTTGATTTTGTCCTTTACTTTTCTAAAAAATAAGAATAAAAAACATGAACCATTATTAAAGTGTGTTTGGTTGGTGATCTTAAATAGAAATCGGATTCAATGAAAATGAGGTTATTTTTTGTGTTTGATAGAATATTTGAAAATTTAATATCGATTTAAAAGATTATTCAASATGTTTAGTAATATATTTGTAAACTAATGATATGTGTAACTAAATTTTTAGTTAAATCTAAAAGTAATATTAATAGTTTTATTAATATATATGTTATAAATTTTGTACGGTTATATTATAACATGATATAACATATTTATCAAAGTTTTTATTTTCCTAATGTATTATGTATTTTAACATTTCAAACTCAAAATCAAAATCTGAAAACACTGAAAACATAAAAGCTAAAGCCGTTGTTTTTTCACATCATTTGAAAACAAATCTGTCAACTGGATTCATTCTACTAAATGAAAACAATAAATAAAATTTGGATTGTATACCAAATTTCTAAAAAACTGAAAATAAGAGGAAAAAAACAAGAATATTAACAAATGGACGGTGGGTGATAAGCTGGTTATAGTTGGAAAGGCCTTTTAATTCTTATACCCTTCATTTAATGTTATGTGAGGAAGTTTCTTTGACTCAAAAATAATTAATTTATTCCTAAAAAAACCAATAATAAATAATTCATTTGCCTAACCATATAACTTGATTGACTAATTCAGCTCATCTTTTTTCTTACATTTATTGAGATGAGTGAATGAAAGGAGGACTAATTATAAGGGATGCAAGAATGGGACTTGACCTATCAAATCCCATTCAATTCTTTCAATTTTTTGTTGCTCCCTTGTGTTTGATTTTGTTTTGTGTTGGAGTTTTCAATCCAAAAAAGTTTTTCTAGCTGACTATCTAATAACCAGAAAAGAATAGAAATAAAGGACAGGGTCCTGTTTAGTAATCATTAAGTTCGAGAAGGGTAGACTCGTAATTTCACTTAACAGAAGAGTCTGACTTTCGAAACTATTAGTCAAGTGGGAACGTCCAATCTATGAGTTTCTTTTTTCCTATACTTTGTAAAATGAAGTTTATAATACTGTTTCTTTATTTTGTAATCTACTTTTTTGGAAATGTTTTCAATACTAAAAGAAAAGATTGTTTAAATTTTATTATTATTATTATTATTATTTTTACAAAGCTTTGTAGCATAGCAATGGGGGCTCCATATTGGGCACATGGAATTGTTTTTAGTTGTCAACAAAAGAAAACAAATAATCAATACCAATACTTTTTGGTCCAACATTTTGTTTGAGACCTAACCCTTTACAGCCCTTCATGTCCTAAAACCATCATCCACACACATTTTACTAAAAACCCAAACCAATTTCCAAAACTTATTTGGCTTTCTAATTGCTTAAATTCCACTTTTAATCATTATCATCCCTCCTAATGTTTTCGTTCTTATATTTTTTCTATGCTGTGATCCTATAGAATTGTTTTCTATTGTAATCGTTGATATATATATATATATATATATATATATTAAATTTACCAAATCCATCGACTTAAGTTTTTGGATTAAGTGATAGTTTATTCATTTTCAAGAGTAACAATTAAGTCTTTAGAAATAATGGATAATCTAAAAATCTTCTATTTAAGTTTATGACTCGGTCAAAAAAAGAAATGCGTGAAGATATTATTTGACATTGAAAATCCAAATAATTAGAGGTGAGTTGATCCATTCAAAGACATTGTAACATAGAGACGAGTCATTTTCTTAACTTTTATGGCATAATTGATGAATCACCAAACACTTAAAATTTTCGGCATTCGTTGATATTCCTCAGGTCTAAATAAATAGTTGTTTTACTTTTCTTTTCTCTCTCTTGTAAGATTTTTTTAGTTCAACTATTATTTGGTGGTTGAGGATCGAACCATAAACCTTTGGGATGGTAATAAGTGTCTTATCTACCAAGTTATGTTTAGATTAGTAGATTTTCATTGTTCTAAGCGAGAACGTGACATGTAAGATTTATACACAAATGGAAAATTATATTTAAAAATGTTACTTTAGGATCATAACGATTCATTATCTAACGTTCAAATAAAGTACATTATCATAAATCTAGAATGTAAATCTTACATGTCACGTTATCGATAATGAATCATTCTCGGTAGAATTAATGAATATTGATTTATATTGATTTTTTTAGTATGTTTCACCTTGCATGTTCAATATATTTCACCTTGCATTTACATGAACATATTTGAACTATATACCAATCTTAAATAATGTAATTTTCTAAAAGCAATTCCAATCAAATTTGAATCTAAACTATAAAGTGCAGTATAGTAGTGATTATATAACATAATCAAATATATAATATAATAAGTAAGGCATTTGAAAAAACTTGTGTCCAAATCCAAAGCAAAGAGAGTATAAAGGAAGCCAAAAAGGGTAAGGTATTGGTGAAGAATTAATTAACATAATTAATTACACAGAATGTATAGATAATGTTCTATTCTTCACAAACAGCCATGATTGCCCCCATAAGCTCAGCCCATATATATATATATTAAAAAAATAATTATTGGAATGTTTCATTTTTTTCCCATCAAATAATCCCAGATTTCAAGCTACTATGTGTTGCTGTTTTCTTTTTTTTTTTTCTTTCTTTTTTTAATTATAAATATAGTTTATTGATTATTTTCCTTTTTGAGCTGTTTTTGCCTTTTGAAGATTCCATTTATTTGCTATGGGATGGAGTCTGTCCTTTCCACTTTTATTTGTTTCGTAGAGAATGGTTTGTTCGGACAATAAGGATTATCTCTTTCGTAAGTCGAACGACCTACAAAATAGAAATGAACACTTTGAAGAAAGTGAGTAATGTATTTAGAAGGGTTTAAACTTACATGGACAACAGACTACCCAACTTTCTTATAAATGATTGAAGCTTAATCGGTTGGTAAAGAAGATTGAGATTCTCTCCCTCAATTTCGATCGTGGCCAGACTGACGATGGACGGGCGTGCTGATGGCGGAACAATAAGGCGAGTTAGACTTGGTTCATCCCTTGCGGTCGAACTAACGTCACTAAATCAGTATATCCCTTAGCTGTTCGACATTCGACTGTCCTCTTTTTTCTTCCTAACAAACTAATATAACAAGGCAATTTTAAAATATAAAATATAAAACAAAATCATTATAGAGCAATGCATGGTGACAGGGGACTAAATATTTTAGTTATACAAATACAAAGAATTAACTTGGGAACTAAAAAAAAAATTAAAATCAACTTGGTGGGTCCATGGCTACTATTTAGAATGTTGATAATAAAAATTATTAGATCTAATCATATAATAACATAATGAGGAATACTTCAAAAGGCAATTTTTAGGTCCCATTTTAGTTTAAAATAGACAGCCAATTGATTTAGGAGCAACTTTAATTACATTTTCAATTATAAGATAAGCTGTTGTATACAAATTTTTTTTTTAATTACATTTCTCATTTGAAAACCTTAAATAGTTGGTCATATGAATCAAACTTTATTTTATATGTTAATTAATTGCTTTCATAATACAAAGAAAATTAATATTATATTCGAAATTATCCCAATGTTAAATAGCTATATTTTTTTCCTCAATTTTTTAATATACTTTTTCGGACGGTTAATTTTATTAATTATTTTTGGATTTTAATTGAATGGTTACGATATTTTTATTTTAAATTAATATGTGATTTGTAGGGTATTTTCTTTAAAGTTGTGAAAGGTATTGCAATTTATATCCATTTAATGCCTTAGACTTTTATGAATAGAGCACGTTGTTTCAATTCAAAATTTTCTTATGATTTTCTTTTAATAGAACAATATTTGGGTGGGGATTTTGTGCATTTTAGAGTTTATACGATTTTAATCTTTAGATTACTAAAAATTTCATATTGATAAAAGAGGTTATTTTTATTTGTAAAATCACCGYGCAACTATGCTCGCTTTGACTATTAAATAATTAATTTTAATCTATAGAAATTAATTTATATAATAAATCAACATTATTTTGAATAACACGTGTTTATGTAATTTATTTTAATATTTATGAATAGTATAATTTAAATTTTAAATAAAAAATATTTTTAATAGTATAATTAGTTCAAAATGAACATAATCGTTTAATAATTTATAAAGAACAAAGTAGTTGAAATATTTTTAAGATGC